AAAAATTAAATAGAAAGATTCAAAGAGAAACCATTGCCTATATGGAACAACAGGTAACTCAAACATATAGAAGTGCTTTAAAAATTTAAATGTTATTTATAAATCTCAAGTCATGAAAAATCATTCACATCCCATAATGCATTCATAGTTATGTATCTCTTTGCTTCTGTTGGTAAATATTATTATAACCTAGAAATTAACGTAAGAATAATCATCAATTTGGGAGAGACCCACATACTTTAGACCTTTAGTCCTATTTTGAGTCTACCATAAAATTTTCAAACTTTGAGTTTACATAAGCATGTTTTTTTTCTCCAAAATACACCAAGGAAAGTAAATGGAACGAAACTGAATAAACAGTTATAGAGCCCTCAGGGGAGGGGAGTCAGGGGAAAAGTATCAATATATAATGGATATGCACTTTTATTACCTGAGCATTTAGCAACTCCTCACACTTGTGTGCTTGTTTCTCAATTGCAGAAATGTACTGTTTTTCAATAGCTTCTACTTGTTGCTTAACTGAAGACTGCAGTAGTGCCTAAAAACAAGGAAAAAAGTCATTTGGATCACAGACAAAACTTGGAATCTACTGTTGGCATGGGAATTTTTTTGACAGTTGTACATATCTGAAATATGATACTCTTCTGCATTATAAAATATATATTTGTGAATACTGAAGCACATTTATATATAACACTATGTTAAGCTTTTCGTTTTAGGTTTTTTCTATTGCCAAGATTACAGTTTTTTGGCTCAGACGTTCCTTCCACACACCTTCTCTTTAAAAAAGGCCAAGTCATAGAAGATGATAAAGAGAGTGAGTAGTTCTGTTAAATATAAATTCAGTTTTCAGCGAAGACCACACAGGATGAGGAGCGTATGAAAGCTGCTGAAAGAAAAAAAAAAAAAGAAAAAAGGGGGGGAAAAAAAGCCAGACATATTTCACTGGCTGACAAAACTCCACATCCTCTCGGCACACTGTAATATCCCATGGGCCAAGCATGATCTTCAAGACCACAAGTCAAGTAAAAGCAGATGGAAACTCTGAGCAACTTCAAACATAAAAGAACTGCCCCCCAGGAAGTTCACGCCCCTAATGTGAAAAGGTATAAGTCTAAGTGTGTAAGTCAGAATCTCAAGGCAGTATTCATAAAAAAGTAATAAAACTTGGGAGACCGGACAAACTTAACTGGGTAGTGCAAATGCTGGAACTTAAGTCAGTTAAATATAAAGACGTTACCACTGTTCTAAGGAAAGCCAAATCAGTATTTGAAGATGTTCCACCCACTCATTTCCTTATTGGAGATGCTTAAAATATTATCTTTTTTCTGTTTCTTTTTTTTTAAACTTTATATGTTATGCTAACATGTTCCTAATAATATCTTACATGCTATTTCTAAATCCTAAATCATTCTAAAATATGTACTCAACCATATATATAAGAACTCAAGCAAATATTCTATTTTTAAAGGTCTATCTGGATAATAAACTACTCATAATCAAAATAGAAAGTTGAAACAGACACATGTCTTATAGAAAACAGACCATTGGCACATTCACCAAGAAAAGAAAAATCAGCCAAATCTCTTAATCTCTGTTTTGAAAATAGATTTACTTGGTTGGAAACAACATGCATTAAGATGCTAAATAAGTAAGCATGTATTTTAAAAACTAGGACAAAAATATTTTTAAAACTTTTGGATAACTCTCAAATTTTCAGATAATTAACTTTCTTTTGCAAATATTAGACTGATGATATTACTACTTCTACAATTCAGTTGTTGTCAGTATGAAGCTACAGATTACTAGTAAATTAGTAAAGGAAAATAAAGCTCTCACTGAGTTTTAATCAAAATATAAGGAAATGCTTACTACAACTGCTTTTATACAATAAGTATCTTCTACAGATTTCATAATGATTAATTTATATAAGGCACCAAAACTTAATTTTCTTAATCTATGACTAGATAATGTAAATCTCTAATTAACCTTTAGCAAAATACACTATTTGTGAGACTTCAGAAAATTTAAAGAATGATATAGTTATAGAGCATTCCCTTGGAATAATCATAGCATCTTTTGTAAATAGAAAAATGCCATTCTTTTTTGCGACTTGGGAA